CCAAAGATAGTTCCAAGGCTGGTAAGAGCTTCCCACAGCCAGCAGGCCAGGGTGCAGGTAAGACTCAATTAGGCCTGTTATTTCTAACTTTCAGTTCCTAGCCTCAGAAAGGAGTATGTCCCGTACAGGGCTTAAAATGTTAAACTACAAAACCAGCCTGAGAAAGGTCGCGTTCAGTGCTGAGTGTGTATGGACACTGACACAACTACTTAAGTGACATCTTTAAAATGCAGGGTCCTCAGTTTCTGAAGTAGGCCAGCAGCAGGCCCCGTTGGTTTTCCTTTCCTCCTTAGCCAGGAAAAGGGACCCCTATTTTTTCCTTAAATGTTAAATTGGCAAGGAAAGACTATATATATTTAAGGCGTGAATCATGACTTTTTGGTATCTATACACATTACATAATGATTATCACGATCAAATTAACGAACACAGCATTACCACCCACACCATCCGCAAGATCCCTGGAGTTTGCCTACCTGACAACTGAAAGTCTGTACCTTCTGACCAACATCTCCCCATTTCCCCCACCCTCCCAGCGCCCACCATTCTACATCGTGCTTCTAGGAGTTCAGCTTTGTCAGATCCCACCTATAAGTAAGATCATAGGTTTTGGGGGGCTAAACTCTTAGAAGGAAACTTCCTAAAGATACAAAAATATGTCCCCCCAAGTCATCCCTTTAAATAGACTGACACAAGGGCTCAGCAGACAATACCACGTTGCAGAACATCAGAGACAGCTAAGAAATAGTGGGATAGATAGGCAGAGGGCAGCCAGGGCAGCTGTGCACACAGCTGGATTTCTGTTGTGGCCTCTGTTGTGATACCCAGGAGGGAAAAAGGCTGACAGCCTTTAGCTAGAGGAATGAGATGAAAGGTCCTGGCTGTATACATTGGGCCAGGGCAAGAATCCGCATCTTAACACCTGCCTTTCCGTAGAAGTGCACAGCCTTCATACTCTAGTGTGGGTCACCATGGGCAATGCGCAAATCAACACAACAAATAAGCCCCGCGTGTGTGCATGCAGCATGTGGCACACAGAGACCTTTGGCATCAGGGAGGCTGGGCCGCTGACCGAGCGGCTTTCTGCTTCATTTCCTCGCCTATGAAATGGGGAAAGAACAATTCCTTCCCTCTGGGCCTCAGATGACAGCTGCTGTGATCCCATGAAGTAAATAACCTTTAAAAAAGCCCTACACAAAGCCAAGGTGTGCCACTTCTAAGGTTTGTGCTTTAAATACCCACAGCTGGTTCCTTTCCAGGTGTCTCTTGGCACAGCAAGAACCAAGGCAAAGGAAGGGGGAAACAAGACAATTCTAATGCTAAACTATTTCCTGAAACAGAGTCCCTGCTATTATCTTAATAACATTCCCTACTCCCCTTCTTTGAAAACAAATACACATTCCAATTACAACAGCAAAACAGAATAACGTAATGGCAAGTGTCAAGATTCTTGAGTCAGACTGCAGAGAGTTATTCTAGCTCTACCAGTTGCTAGCTGTGTGATCCTGGGCCTTGGTTTGCTCATCTCTCAAATGGGAATAATAATGGTACCTAAAACCACATAGTGTGGTATAGAATAAGTGAGATTATATATATACACACACACACACACAAAGTTGTTCCTTGGTACCTGGTGAGGGATTGGCCCCTAGACCCCTGAGGAGAGCAAAAATCTGTGAATGCTCAAGTCCTAGATGTAAAATGGCAAAGTATTTGCATATAACTATGCACATCCTCCCCTATACTTTAAATCATCTCTAACTTACATGAAATACCTAACACAAAGTAAATACTATGTAAATAGCTGTCATATAGGTTGAAATCCCCATTCTTAAATTATGAAATGCTCTAAAATCTGAAACTTTTGTTTTGTTGTTTTCTTTTTTGAAAGAGATGGGGTCATATCATGTGACCTGAGCTAGAGTACAGTAGCTATTTATTGCCACTATCATAGCTCACTGTAGCCTTGAACTCCTGGTCTCAGGCAATCCTCCTGCCTCAGCCTCCTAAGTAGCTGGGACTACAGGCTTGCACCGCTGCACTCAGTTCAAACTCCAAAATTTTTCAAGTGCCAACCTGACAAGTGGCAAATTCAACACTTGACCTCATGTGATGGGTCACAGTCAAAACTTCATTTCATGAAGAAAATTATTAAAAATATAATAAAATAAAAAATATAATAAAGTTACCCATAGGCTATGCCTATAAGGTGTGTATAAAACATAAATGAATCTTGTGTAATGACTTGAACCCATTCCCAAGATACACATATCCTCCTGTGGAGATACACAAATATTCAGAAATCCAACATGTCTGTTTCAAGCATTTTGGTTAAGGGACACTCAATCAGTACCATATTGTTTTTATTCTTTGTCTTATTTTCTATTGTTGTATTTGGGGGATTTTTTCCCCCCAGATATTTTCAATCTATAGTTAGTTGGGTACGAGTGCCAACTCTGTGTGTGTGTGTGTGTGTGTGTGTGTGTGTACGTACAAGCACGCATGCGCATAGAAAAATAACAGAGAGAGAGAGAGAAGGAAGACATTCGGACACGCTAGGCGCATTATAAGCACTTTCATGTTGGCCATTTTACTCTTGCTTTTAGTCCTGGCTGGGAGAAGAGAAAGTCAGCGACTCATGTGACCGGTACAGCAGGTGCATCAATGTGACCCTCTGTGGAGACCCAGAACACTTGAGCCAGGAGGCACCACAAGCGAGATAGATCAGTGCTGCTCAAACTCAGGGTAGAGGACTACTCTTGGTTGGCTTTTTCCTTGGTCTGACTAGGCTGTAGTCCTACTGTGCATGACTAGTGTACAGCTTGCCTGCGTGTAACTCTCCACACTCGTTGGAGAACACTCATCTGCAGCGTCAACAAGGCGTGCTGACCCGGTTCTTCAGTGATGTCAAATCGCTATCGTGGATTGCACAGTTTATGGGTCACGTACCACTCATACCACACTTTGAGAGCGCTGGCCCAGGCTATTCTTTGCCTCTCTCTGCAATGTCATTTTATGGGGCAAGGAACGGCCATGTGTGGCAATGCCGGAAGTCTTCTAAAAAAAACAAAAATTCCTAGTGCCAATTCCATGGCATGGGGACTCACTTCCATCCCAGCACTTCGGGAGGGTCAGGCAGGTGGATAGCTTGAACTCAGGAGTTCAAGGCTGCACTGAGCTACGATCTGGCCACTGCACTCCAGGCTGGGTGACGGATGAGATCTTGTCTGTACACCCCACCCCAAAAAAATCCCAGAAAACTGTAGAAAATTTTGCCCCAAATGCATGTATGGAACTCTCAGAAATAAGGAAGAAAAGGGAGCAAAAAGAAAATACCAAGGAACATCCACCAAACCCCACTGGCACCGATACCCTTGGTCACAAGGATTTAGAGACAGGAATTTCCTGAGCACCAGCAGGGAGATGGCAGCTGGTCAGCCCCTGCCAAGCGGCTTCCCTGACCTTGGGGCGGTCCTCCTTTCTCAGAGCCACAGCTTCCAGTTTGGCTTCGTATTCTGCTTGAACTTGGTCCCTCTTCTTCAGTACACTCTGTAGGAGGCAAAAAGAAGCACATGACACGGAGTCCACAAAGGGCCTCCAACCCCCCAGGGGACTGCTTCTTTACCCCACAGCTCCCCAAATCATGGCACACCCAGGCCCTGCCATGTGCTCCTAGCACAGCCTGGCTGTGGCACAGAAGCTGTATGTGACACGGACTCTGGAGGAAGCAGGGGGGAAAGGAGGGGGGAAAAAAGGAGAACCATTTACAGAGACTGAACTTTCTAGAGAAGGGCAAGTGTGGGAAATGGTGTCCCTCCACCCACTGCCATACTGACAGGAGGACTCAAGACATCCCTGTGAGCAGAGAGAGCCCAGCCGCGTGGAAATGTGTCGCTTTGCAGGTTACAATGCAGACACTCTCTCATTCTTAATGGGAAAGAGAAAGTCGGGGGAGCTCTTCTCTCTCTAATTCGCTGAGTGGATCCCTGGTGGACTGATCTGTTCATTAATCCATTAGCTACCTATCTGTCTTCTGCCCTGGTCCAGGCACACAAAGGACAAGGAGATACAGCCCCTACCTCCAGGGTTCAGTCTAGGAGAGGTACAGACACAGTATGAGGCTGTAAGTGCTAAAATAGTTACATACATATGGCAAGTCCAGAATCCCCTGTACCGAGCGGGAGCCTGCCAGAGTGAGTGGTAAATGGGCCCAAAGACAGCCAGCCTTGGATGGCACCAGAGTGAGGCAAGCCAGGCGCCAAGGGTGCCAAACTTAAGGAGACACTCACTCTTTGGCTGAAGCAAGTACAAGGTCAGCACCTGAGTGTGGTACCTCCTTAAATCTGTGCTCGAGGCTCACCACCCTCAGTCCTGGCTCTGCTGCTGAGATCCCACCAAGCAAAACAGAAAAGCTTACCGTGGACATTCTGAAAAGAATCTGTTTCATCAAAGCATTTTTTTTCCTTCAGTTAGCAGAATCACAAAAGTAACAAACCAAGAGTGATAAGAACTTTCTTTCCCACTAACTCTAAAGTCACAAATTGCTAGGAAAGTTTCTGAATCATGTACTTCCCCACGGGGACCTTCCAGCAGAGCGTGGAGTCAGCATGGGAAGGAGCTGCCCCTTGGCTCAACAGTGGGCACCCTGTGTCCCTGACAATGTGCTGAAGTGAAAGGTGGTGGATGGCTGAACAGTTGAAGCTCTGGGGTCAACCTTCCAATGGAAAGTGTCAGTACTGGGAGCCTCAAGTCTTCTCTCAAAGTTAAGAATTTACTTTGAGAAATGATTTACCATGAAAAGAACACCAGGTAGAAAGTTTTATTGTGAAAGTTTTATTTCATCACTTGCCACTTATTTCTCTCTCGAGTGCTCTGACATTCCTTCCCCACACTCATTAAACTGTGAGCAGGAATATTTACAATGCTGTTCCGTGGAACTCTCTGCTATGATAGAAATGGTCTATAGTCCACACCGTCTGGTACAGGAGCCACAACCCACGCATGCTGAGTAAGCACCTGAAATACAGCTAGTATGGCTGAAGAACTGAGTTTCCATTTTTAATTAATTCCACTAATTTGAATTTAAAGTTAAATAGCCACAGTGACTACCACACTGGATGACATAAATCTATACAGTAAACATTTCGAAGTCAGGGGTCTTTCTGGATTTCACAGAGCCCAGAAAATGATCTATACCTTCTAAAAGAACCAGCAGTAGTAAAAACTACAATCTCCACCCAAGTAAAATAAAAATATGATGCTTGCTGCCCCCCGGATATGCAGATGTGGCTCCCCTGGGAGCTGGGGAACAGCAGAGTGTGCTTCCCCCCACAAGATGCCTCACATCTTACTGGAAAAACACACATTTCCAGACCTGCACTTCCAGGAATTAGGATGAGTTGCTCCAGTGACAGTGTGGTGAGAACCTGGTGACCAAAACTACAAGACAATGATGTGGAAGACAGCACAGTGCAGGGGTGGATGAGAAGAGATGCCTGAGCCCGACTCAGTTAAAACACTCTAAAAGTGTCTCCTCTCTCTGCCCCCCAAACAGGTGAGGGGGCCGGTAGAGCCAGTCATACCCTCCCTCCAGGCAGCCTGGGCCTTCCCCAGCCCAGAGGACAGGCAGGGGGATTGTGTCCTCAGGCACTGCTTCTGGAGTGCCCAGCAGGCTGCCCTCTCACGCAGGCTGGCTGGAGGATCTGTGCTGGCTGCCCTGCGTCACAGCGATGCCCTAGGGGTGAAAGGGCATTACCCTTATTTCTCAAACAAGAAGACCTTCATGCAGTGGCTGGACCTGCTGGGGCCAAACTGCTGGCCAACAGCACAGGGAGGTGACTCATTCGGGTGCTTCCTGCTGTGTTCAGTTCATGGTTTTACAGTCGGACTGTGATCCAACCACACTCAAGGCTGGGAAATGTGCTCTGAATCAAAACAATCTGTTTCAGACCAGCATTCTGGTTGGGACACCCTGGCACCTGTTGCTGATGGTCCGAGAGGACTGGGCTCCCAGCCCAGTCTCTGCTGATAAAACTGGCCGAGCCCGCCTATGACTTATACACAGTGGGGTGAAAGGGACAAGAGACTAAGTCAGGGGCTGCGGAGAGGCCCTCCATCCTTCAGTGACAAGCAGAAGACAGTCATCAGCTTAGCTAGTCACAGAACTTTCCAGGGATCTCTGATTCCACTGGGTGAGCCTCCTCGCACTGCGCCACCTGCCCTCTGTACAGGCCACCCTCGCCCTGTTTCTGCCCTGCCACCCAGCATCTCATCCACCTCTCGGGTGCAGGGATACAGCAGAGAACACAACACATGAAAACTTGGCCTTCACGAGCCGGACAACAACACGCAAATCACACAGTGGGTAAGGTGGGCCTAGGAGGACCATAAACCAGGAAAGGAATCTGGGAAGTACTAAGGGTTTGGGGAGGGTGACATTGTATACAGGGCACCCGAGGAGGGCCTCTCACTCAGAAGGTGACTTTTAATCAGAGACACAGAAGAAATTTCTCCAGGATATTTCATATATATATATATATTTAGTAGAACACTTCATCATTTCAAATGGTCCTAATAATCTAGAACTCCACTACCTTTCATTCCTAACAAAGAGAGGGCAAATGACTCTTTAATAAATTGCAAGAAAAAACCAAATAGATGAAGAAGGATTTAAAAATACTTAAGAAACCAGGAAGGCACAGTGACTCATGCCTGTAATCCCAGCTAGCACTTTGGGAGGCTAAGGCAGAAGGATCACTTGAAGTCAGGAGTTCAAGAACAGCCTAGGCAACAGCATGAGATCCCATTTCTAGGAAAAGCCAAAAGAATTAGCCAGGCATTGTGGCACGTGCCTATAGTTCCAGCTACTCAAGAGGCTGAGGCAGGAGGACAGCTTGAGCCCAGAAGTTCACGGCTGTAGTGAACTATGATCACACCAGTACATTCCAGCCTAGACAACAAAGTGAGACCCTGTCTGTAGGGGGAAAATTCTTTTTAAGAAGTGTATCAACCAATGTATGTATCTTATTTGGATCTCAGTTTAGGGGGAAAA